TACATGTTGATCACATTCACGAATTTCATAGGGTGATAAAATGAAACCGCGCTTCCAGGAGAGACCGAAAGAAAACTGCAACTGAGGAAATTTTATTTTTGACCAAAAATAAATTTTATTTCCAATTAAAAAAGGCACAATAAGAACAGACTGTTCCGGATAGCGTTCTCACCAAAATAGCATAAACTGCAGCTGATGTTTTTTCCCTTTCACTTAGCTAGTAACTACTTCATTAACCTTTCATTTAATGAGAATTGAAGTTTCTCTAGAAAATCTTTGCAGGAGATTCCCTGAGTGTATCCTATGACAAGCTAAGGTGCATATTCTAGGATGCCTATTATGCAGAGAGGAGACTTGGGCGATAATGGTAAATAAGCTCTGAACACAAACGAGTACTTTGGATCATACCAACAAGTTGTCAATAACTTTCCCCCAAAACTATCTCAATATATTTTTTTATCCGTTATTCACCTTTCTACATCGTCAGAGCCCTGTGCAATTTTGAAGTTTGGGAACTGCCGTCCCGAGGCCAGGTTAAGCGTCGGAAACACATTCTCAAACGCCCATAAGAAGTATCACTGAGCTTGAGATCGCAGAGCAGAAGCTTTGCAAATTCGTACTGCAGCCTATTCAGCCGCTATCCTTTCTTTACTAATCAAAACCGTGACTGTAAATGATTGGCCACCTGAAGCGTCTTGCATCCACTGGGCAGGTGAGGTCAGTTTTGAGCGTTTTAATCTAAAAAACGTGATTTTTATCCTCACATTCAGTATAAGGAGTTTAAGGTAGACCTTCAGTGCAATCATTGAAATTCGCAGGTATCCTGTCTTTGATGTGGCCAAATTACAAAGACGGCCGGTTTGGCAGATAGCAGCCACACGAAAGGCCAAAAGACAGTCCCTACTGGATGTTGCAAACGGAAATGTAAAACGATAGAAAAAAATTCTAAAAGTCATTTGTAGGCAGCATTGACTGCCGAAAAAAAAGATGGTTTGTTGTTATACGTGAATATTCGACCCCATCATGGATTTCAAGAGAAATACTGCTTTTACTAATAAACCTAAGAATATTAAATCTTGAAAACAAAATAGACTTCAATTTGACTCGGAAAAGAAAACGCGACAGTACTTGCTGTTTTGTTTAGATAATTAGAGGTCAGAAACTAGACGAACAGATACCTATGACACGTTGTAAAGTGGGGGGCTTTGCAGAACTCTAAGACTCTCCTACTGGAAGCTCAGCTCTTTTCGCTGTATAAACATATGAGATTGTGTTAAAACTAGCGCATAGATTTAGGCGCGTTGCAGAGTGGATTAGTCGCACTCCATTATACAATTAGGATAAACAGCTGCAATTCTCATGATAAATCAGCCTGTTTTCTGACAACTTAGAAAAGGGAGGAATAGGAATCTTCGATAAAAATCTATGAAATGGTTAAATCAAACAGTAAACCCGGAACAACGAAAAAATGTGTTTTTAAAATTGTGTGGAAAGACGTACCATGATACAGCGCATTAGTGCACAAATTGACCATGGGTGCCTTGGGGTTTTCCTAAGAAAAAGAGAAAAATTTGGGTAGATCCGCTGGGATGAGCACACACGGCTCGCACCACAAACGTAACTAGGGCTGAAACACTGACACGGTAAGAACAAAAAAGTAAGCAAACAATTGAATGAGGAATGAATGAGTGATACAACCAGGAAGTCCAAAGTCCAGCCTAGGCCAAACTACTCCGGTTTTTATAACAGAAAAGCACATTCTTTCAAGCCACTGCGTAATTAAGCAATTCAGATACGGAGATGAAAATAATGCATCAACTCGGGGTTGATACGATCGCCTTAAAAAATCTATGTTAAAATCCTTAAACTACAACCTAAGTTTCCAGTTATCCTAAGGTGACGATGATCGCTACCTTCTAAAAGTTAGCTATTTATCTTTACAAATATCTGTAGAAAAGTGTGAATTTCATTCCAGTTAAAAATATCACATGACATGATTGTGAGGAATGAAATGAAGCGTCATGTACAAGGTAGGAATGGAAATGAGTTCTCGGAGCTTCTCTTCTTCTAGTTAAGCCCATTTTCTCTCTAAATACTACCGAAATAAGTCGATCAACGCCCCTATTCAGTCTGATCCAAGGTTTCCGTTCTGCCCCCAAAGATTTCCATAGTCCATTAAAAACATGACTGAGATCAAAAATATTAATCCTTTAACCTAGGTGGCAAAGACCTATAACGCATTCTCTGTAGCCATTTTTCAAATGTAGTATCCGGAATGTGAAACAATGAACCGTAGTTTGAATGCTTCAAGGTAAATTTTCGTTTAAAAAAACCCACTTTGAATAGTGTTACTCTAAACTCCGTCAGAATTTCAAAGTTTTTGGCTCGCAAATACCGTTTCACTCACTCGGAGTCGAGAAAATGCCTGACTTTTCCGTTCTGATATCCTGCGCCTCCCATTTAAGGAGGGTGAGGTATGATGTCAACGCCCAATCAAATGTTATTTTCCTTCGCAAGCAAGTGAAATGATTGCTCTTTGCAAGCAACATTGGAAAAAAGGGTACGAAAAAGTTCCCACACCCTCCAACACGAGCTGAAGGTGAGAGGAGGCGCAGTGACAAGTCTTGCCTGAGCATGTTATGCAATCAATTCTGTTGGCGACCAAGATGCCCTTGCGATTTATCAGAAGTGAGTTGCCAATTTGCAGTAAAGACAACTCTGGAAATAACATTTACATTGCAATAAAAGGTAAAGAACAGTGTTCCATCATTAAACTCTATAAATACAGTTAACCCACCCATGTCGTCTAAAAATGAGACATTTAGTCGGTCAGAGCTACAAACACAAGATAGAGCAAAGTAATCAGCCGAGTCACAAAAACAGGAGGGTAACCGCCGAGGAGATTTGACGTATGATATTGCTAGATTTGGCAGAGTGAATTAGATCAATCCCCTCTGACCACTTTACCCTGACCATGGCAAAACTGACACTGATCAGCTTCAGGGTCTAGCAGGAGGTTTTCTAGGAGAACACAAGAATAGTTGCAACTACTGTACCATTTCTTGACGTAGAATCTACAGCACAATAGGTCAAAGGAAATCGTGCTGTCGTAAGACAGCTCATTCCACACATGAGAAGCTCAAATGTTTGAAGAAATGAGGTATAACGCTTTCACCTTATATGTATATCTAATTCCACGGGCCCTTCAATCTCGACCTGACAACCACGATGGAGGCATGATGACCCGCCCATGTCACCTAAGCCATTAATTCACAAGCCTTCCCCTACGTTGATGGTAGATTTGCCCGCTGGTATGCTGGATTACGTCTTTGGGCGTGACGCAGTCGCTACAGTAGGCTATGGAGTACTCAAGTTAGCCTGAGTTTAGCACCATCAGATTTCCTAAGAAATTTTAAGAAAACGATTTCCGTTTGATCGTTAGCAAGGCATTAATGTCCACACAGTTAACACATCTAGGTGCCAATTTTAACACATAAGAAGGTGGTTATGTGAAATAAAGTCGAATCGAAATGAATTTCACTGAATGAGTTTAAGAGCTATTCGAACAGCTACAGAATCAAAACACCCAAGGTCCTCACGACAATATTTAGAAGCAAATAGTAACATGTGCCTCAGATTCCGGTTTAGATAAAGGAATAGTAGGACAAACCAGGGATACATTTCCGGAAGACCTGATTAGCATACGAGTTACTAGCCAACTGAAAGAGGACAGGATACAAAGACAGAAAAGAGATTGTACGCAGTCTACCGAAAAAAGACACGAGCTATTGTGCACAGGTTTCGAGTGTCAGTGAAAAAAAAAAACAAACAAGCAAAACTCTGGCTGAACTGAATGTGTGTATATGGGTAGGTGCGCGTTTGTTTATCTGAGAACGATCGGACGGAGAGAACTACGACTTACGAGTGGTTCCCGCAGCTCCTGGCGGTCCAAAAACATTTTTTGTGGTTAAATGGACAAAAGACGGAGAGGAACAGGAATTTTAAAATCCATGTCCCAAACCAACTTGCTCGGATTTTGGCTAAATAGCTACGAGATTGCCCCGCTTAAGGCTGGATTAAAATAACTCATTAAAAGAGCCCTTGATAGGCACTGCGCATAGCAGAAAAGCGATTACACAGATCCATTGGAGCTCAGGTGGATTTTGAAACTATTAAAAAACGTAGACAACTATCTCCACGATTTTATACATGTGGTTTCTGACTCCACATAGTGCTAGAAGTTTCAGCATAGACTTTATTAATTCAAAAATATCTCGACCGAGCACCCTTGACTGACGTAAAAAAGGGATATTAAAGGCGGATTACCGAAGTTTAAAGTTCCTAGATTTTTCGTGAAAATGCAAAAAAGTAGCGAATGAAGGGACTGCAACGCACCTTGGCAAACTGAAGACATACGATGGTTTTCTTAACCAATTCAATGAGATGCTAAAATGAAAAATAAGACAAGCCTGAGCAAGTACACCAGCCCCAGAGGTGAGCTTCTCAACTATCATTGGCACTCAGTTTACATTAGCCAATTGTGCTCTACCCAAAAAAAAAACATAAATTGATACGTTACCTATTTATTTTTATTAACTTCACAGTCTATTGAAGGATCCGTAAATAGGGAAAACTCAGTAACACCTTTTGACCAGGCATGGTCATGCTACCACTCTGTTGTGCGACAGGAGTTTACTTTTGTCCACTCAACCGTCCCCAGCAACATTTTGCCACCTTAGTTTTACTTTTTGGATGGGGAAACCCAGCCAATTGTCAACAGTGAAAAAGCATGTGACCCTTTTCATTTGCTAAAAATTCGCAGATGTTTGGCAAACTCCTGCCTACCTGCAGCCGCCTTTTAATGGATTCACAAGAATGGCTGGACAATTGCTCGTAGTGACTCAGTTGCTGGTCGATTGCCTGGGAGAGGAAAAAACAATTAGGTACAGTCAGCCAGATTAGCAAGAAACGCTTCAACGAGGAGCCTCACCTGGTGTTGATCTATGAGGATCTGGAGATAAGCATCCGCCTCAATTATCCGTCTATCAAACTCGGAGACGGTGACGGCTGAATCCAATAAGCGACTGGTCTATATCAAAGAAGTTTAGGGTCGTCAAAAAGTTATAAACTCAACACAAGCCTAGTTCCACTTCAACCTCTGCAAGAGACATTCTAGTTGAACTGGTCTTTTCACTTTCACAGTTCCACGCATATCCTATCTTTGGCGTAGAAGGATTTGTCAGTACGCCCAAACTATTAAAAAACAGCCTTTTTTACCTCATTAGTGATAAAAATTTGTTAGCCACTGAAAAAATTTCAAATTTTCAAAAGTTCGCTAATATTTGTGATCAACACTTGCACAGAAGGACTTGTCTTTTATGGCACCTTGTTACACGACAGGCTACGCGTAGATCAGATGTGTCCAGGATCAGGCAGGCGTTTCACGAGCTGGATGAATGTTCACAAGAACAACTGTTGTACTGTGAGCTGGTAACCACTGCAGCTGAGATCGTCATCAATGTACGGATGTATGATAGGGTATAGTTGAAAAGCTGACACCCTCTAATTATCGTACAGTTGAGAGACCGGGAGTCGCATTGCCATATCACACAGTGATTGAAGCCTTACGCGGATAGCACCTGATCTCTGCAGGTTCGAGTTATGCCTTTTTATTGCCAGGAAAAGTGATCAAGAAACACATGTTTCGGTGCATCACATTCATTGCCATCGCTGGCTGTGTCTAGAGGCTACGGAATCAGAACGCACGCCGACTGCTAGTAATACTCAGAGGAAATGCCACTTACTACTGAGAGCACTAACGTTACAAGAGCATCCCCCACCATTCGCCCAAATCAAAACTCAGCTCGAATTGGACGCCTCTCTTGATTCCGCACGGGGGAATCAAGGTTTAATCAGGTAACAACAATAGAGAAACCGAGACATTACAACTCTTCAAGGGGAAGCCAAGAGAAATTCGTAGTGGATGTTAACTTGGCGAAAAAAAACAAACATGTGAGGACGTAGCCAGTAGTGTTCGCACTGTTGGCCCAAATATAAAAGCAAAAAAGTATGCTTTTGAGATGTACAATTTTCGGTCGAGCTAATAAGACCAGCATAAAGGTAAAGAGCGCATTATTTTTCTCATTTAATATTGAGTAATCACCAAAGTAGGATGAAACGAAAAGCACCCGGTAGCAAATATTTCAAACGCCCGTTTAGGTCACTAAAAGCATACAAAAGGTGGCTTTTTCGCCATACAAAAACATAAATGCTCACACTGGGTGTTCTAGATTATCGTAGAAGAGTGCTACAGATGAGAGGGACCTGAAATAATCCAAACCAATAAACTCAATCCATCCCTTTCGTTGGACGGGAGAAGCAAGAGAAAATAATTATCATCGAAGGGCACTTTGGAAGCAGAAGAAAATTCGAAGCAGCTAGTAGTAGCCGTTAAGGTCACTAAGATGAACAAAAACATGTGGCAAGGACAAAATCCTCCTTCTGCTACAAAGAAGACTATTTGAAGAAGAAAGGCCATAGAGCACCGCTGGAGAGGCGTAAAAGAAAATTATGAAGAATTGATCACGAAGGACCGTATCTAATCCGAGTTAAATTCACGCTAATATCCTTGTAGAATAAGACAGTCAAGAATTAGACTTGCAGACAAAATACACGATCACGATCGGTAGGAATGAAAAGAATCCACTATATTTACCTTTCATCATACAGTATTAGTCAATAGACGACTTCAAATTAAATGTTTAAAGCGTACGTGCTGAAGGAGTGCATAGTTTTCCGTGTGAAGATCGCGCGCTTCCTGAAGGGCGTCCAACCACCTTTGCCGCTCTTCAGCGTTTCGAGCTGAAAGAAATCGATAAATTTGGTCCACCGGTTCGAATAACTCAGGAGAGTAATTAGTTAACCAGGTGAAAACTGAAGGGAAAAAGTCGTCTGAGGGAGTACTACTTTGTCATCATGCATATCCTATCGTAATCTACCAAAAATAAATAACGAAGTTATTTATTCACACCAGTTGGAAAGGGGACGTAAGCAAGCAAAATTTAGATCCCGGAATTTGGGATATACTTGGTGTGCTTGCTAAAATACTACAATTTAAGTTCTCAATGGGTGAGGGGAATCACACAACTAATGACTACATTTTACAATGAATCGCATCAGTCTAGGATGCTGTTTACCTTGAAAATGAAATACTTTGGAGTCCACGGTGATTGTAAAGGTACTATCGTCTTCGTCGTTTATGCCCATTTGGGCATTTTTCAATTTGACACAACCACGTCTTTCCCCACGGATCATCTTATCTCGCGACTGTAAGTAAACGTAAAACAGTTAAAACCACACATCACGGTCTTCGCAGCTACATCCAAGATCTTGCAATGCAATCGAACATAGGCCTGTATACTAAAGTTTAAAATGTTTATGTATTCTAGAGAATGTTAAAGGGTGCGTTGATTCAGAATACAAATTATTCTAGGGCCTAAACAAAGTACTACGTACTGTATAGTAGGAGAGAACTCCCATGGCCAAGTCCAGAACAAACCATCGAAACTGCCATCCTTGAACAACGTTGGTCCATTTACTCAAAGGACCCTCCATCAATAGAAGAGACGAACGGGACTAAGCAGCATCTGACGTTTAACTGACCCGCCTTTGTTTGATTGGTCATGAATCTCTACATATGCAAACCCAGAATAAATGTATCAAAGCTACATAAAGAAATGCTAAAAGGTCACTGTGGATAAAAAAACTATGTGTTAGTAATTATTGCTATTTTGGGCCTTAGCAGGGTGTTTATTTTACTTGTTGGAAAAGTACTCTAGTTTCATTAATCACCGTAGATTTTAACAGTACAGGTTGGGTATTTTGTTTTCCCATTTTGCTCATTAGCAATTTATTGTTTGGACAATTATGCCCATTTAATGCTGATAGCACGGTGTTTTACAGATTTTTAAGGCGAGGCATTCGCTCTTGTAGTACGCAGCCAATATATATCCACGTTAAAATCTTACTTTAATATGGCTTAATGTGATCGTGTGTTTTCGCTATTTTAGTGCACTTGTTTGTCAAGTTTGCATATTTTGTGGTAGTTCCACGACCCCACTTTTGCGGTCGAATTTTGATTTTCCTCACTCTATCATTCTTATCCTAGTCGTATTTATAATATTAGTTTAAAGCACTGCGGTTCTTAGATTGGATTGAGCTTTAATTGAGTGATGGTAGTCCATGTTTCTCCCTATGCTCCTTTAGTTCGCCCTTACTTTTCTTCCTGTTAGTGCGACGATATATTTATTTCAAATGAGTGCTTTCAGCTGCGTTTAAATCTATATTCCATGATGCAGACAAAGAACTCGGTAGTCGTTCCTGGAGGTGCCAGTGTTTAATTGATTTTTACCTGATGTTTCTTAAATGGCTCTCAAAATACTTCGTATTGAATCTGACATAAGTTATGTGATGCTGTAGGGACTTATTTCTTCTCATTGTAACGCTAGGTATATCCTGTGAGGCGGTGTTGTAGTGGTTCAAGATGCAGTTTTTCCATATTCCTGCAAACCAATTCTTGGGATGTTGCAAACGTTCAAACGGGCAAAATTCTAATGGGCTGAAGAAAGCGTAACTGTCTTAGCTGGAAGGGGAATTCTCTCGGCTATTGCGCTTCTGAACCTTATTTAAATTTTGGAGGTTCCAATCATCTAGTACTTTTTCATGCACCGTCCACCGGCAGGTAATTTCGAATATTCAACGAAATTCAACGCTTTATACCAATTAAATAAGTGCGCAATGCAGAAAAGTCGAATAATCACTTAAAGAGCGTTCTGTCGTTCTGTCGAATCAGATTTGATCTGCTTACACCAAATGAGTCGGAAATTCGCCTGTTGAGCGTGGGCGCCTACAAAAAGAAATTTATTGAAATGTCGCCTGACAGTAAACACATAAAGGAAGCTTCTCGATGGCGCTGGGATACACATCGCCGGCGGGGTGGGGCTCTGCTTATGCCACAACTGGGCCATCAATCTCTCGATCCTATGATGTACCTATAATAAAACCAATTGCCATATCCAGCCTTATAGCGTCCGCGTGACCTACAGTAAGTTTCATTTCATTCCCACCATTCGTACGTTTAAGGAGAAGCTACTTCTGCAAGTAACGAGGAAGTTTTTTAGAGGGTCAAAATATGGCGACTCCTAATGTTGGCAGGACAGGGCTGGAGTGCTAATTTTAGTCGGGCACGCTATTGTCAAATCCTTTGTATAGTTGGCTATGCTGATCTTTCGTGCCTTGTAATCAGCAGTCCTCCAATCGCTTTCGATTATGAACCTCGGCTAAAAGTCCTCACGAAATTGGCCAAGGCAGAATTGAGATAACCAGAATTACGTTAAACGTGCGTCATGATCCTGGTCTTGGTAACTGGCCCTTCAAACCTCCGTCATCCTTGATAAATTCAGACCGGCAACTTAAATTAGATTCTACCCTTTTAGTAAAGTAACGCTTTTGTCAACCTATGATTGCGTCGTGTAAACCAAAGTAGTGCTGTTACTTGTATATTCTGGAACTCATGCACACACACAACCATTTCAAATACAGTAAACTGGTTACAAATAAATTAAGACTTCTAGATTAAATGATAAAAACGCCGAGTTCACATCAGAATGAATTTGAATAAACTAGGAATGCACCTTCTCCTAAAGCTGGAATCACATTCCCTAAACTTGGTTGTTTGACAATTGAAGACATCGCTATCAGGGTGAAGGGTAGGGCTCATAACTGTGGGAGTGAAACTTTCCACCGGGAGAGCTGATAACCTCAACAGTACCGTCGCCATAGTAACGGTCAAAACCGCCTCTTTCAAAACGGTATTTGGTGGGTTGTGTGCCTCCTGCATCGCCATTCATAAATCCTCGGTCAGACCTCATTCTTCGGGTCGAAAATAGTCGGCGCGATGGATATGGTTGCCTTGCGGCTGGCGAATGCACACAACATCCCGAGCCCTTGGTGCAGAGCGCCTCCTTCTTGCTATCCACGGCTAGTTTCTCAAATCGCGCGATATTGTAGTCAAATGCTCTGGAAATAGATGACTCGTCAATTCCTTCGGGGACCGGTAGATGTGGCTGTGGCGGTGATGGTGAAGGGATTTTGTTTTTTTGGGGCCCTCGTTCTCGCACCTCCCTCTCTGTCTCTTCTTCAAGATCACCAGGTATTGACCGGGGTGACGGGTGGGCCTGAACAGGCGACCAGCTCCCCCGTGTCATGTGAATCCTTCTGCGTCCCCCTCCTATCTCTTGAGCTCGGACCTTCCAGGTTTCATCATCACCTGCAGCAGCCCGTGGAACGCTGTACCGCTTAACACGAAAGACTTCGGGCTGATTTAAACTCAAACAGGAAGTGGATTTTCCAGCTCGAGGTATTCCTTTCCAGTCGGAGAGATTCACTGATCGGTAGGGCTTTATCCCACCCGTATCAATATGCTCCAAGTAGGAGTAGTTCAAACAGGGGCTGGGTCTATCTCTCATCTGTGGGCTAGGCGATCTCATGCTGTAGTGATCCGAACAATCCACGGTTAGCTGATTTTGTTTGTAATCCGCGCTTCGTACTTGCTTCACACTATCTGGGGAGGTGGGGATTATATAGGAGATACCATTATTATTTATCCGTTTGTACACATCTCCTGTCTTGGTAAATATACCATCTGGCCAGTCATTACTTCCCGCAGCTCGGTTCATACTCCTTGGACTGGCGTTCCTCTTAATGCCTAGAAGTTTTCGTCTGGTTGGGGAGTACTCATCGGAGCGTCTAATTGGCTGAGGCGCTCCATAGCTCACAGACCACCTTTGTCTTTCCTGTAGTGTTTGATGTTTTTCCGGCTCATACTTCCTCGTAAAACCATTTCTGCTACGCAGAGGAGAGTGTTGTTCACGTAAAGGCAACGACCTTAACGAATCAGGTCTTTTAACGGAGAAGAGCTTGTCATCCTCATGGCGTTCATAGGCAGCACTTCTTGGACGACTTCTTAGGGGTTCCAATGAACAGCTCCTTTTCTCTCTTCTTGTAACTCGTGGCCTCTCCTTTAGCACAGTAGGATCACGGGGCAGATACATGGTCTGGGCTTCCTCAAATTTTCTTCTCAAATCACTGACTGAGACATTTTTCTGGGTTATCACTTCCATCGCCTCATCGCGTCCATTCAGTTGGTGCTCCACGTCGTATTGCATCGGGACAGCCATGATATCTTCTTCTTTCTCCTCCTGAGCCTTGGTTACTGTAAGATCCTCTGCCGAAAGTAAGGTTAATGAAGAGTCTTGTTGTGTTGGGAGGATGTTGTTTAATCCGGTAGAAGTAATACTTAGTTCTGTCTCGGGGTTCTCAGTCTTCTTGTTATTCCCTTTTTCCTTCCACCGGTGTTGGCGGAAGTAGAAGAAATCTGTGTAACGACGAAGTTGCAAACCCTGTAGGTCCTCAAGCTCGTGTGGCCTTGAGAAATGAGTTCTGATGCTCACGTGTGTGGTGAGATACTTTTCTTGTGCTGCCGAAGGTGCGTAGATTCGCCCGCTAAAAACGCCCTTACTCAATTGGCTGATAAAGTGTTGCGGACCGACAGGAGTAAGGAAGAAAGCGCGTGAACCAGGGAGCTGGAAGGTGGAGGTGTAGACTCGGGTAGGCAGGCGGTAGGAGGGTAGATTTGGATCCTGAGCTGGGTCTGGAGGAGCTTCACGAAGATCTGGTAGTGATTTTGAACGAGTTGGATGGAAGAGAGCTAGCAGGCTATCTACTTGTGAATCAGCAATGACAGTGTCCGGATTTTCCAACATATAGAGTCCTGAGAGAGGGAAATTCGATGGAATTCGTTAAAAGTGTCTAGTCACAAAACTACCGATCACGTTTTGCTCCGCTTTATTTTAATATATTAAAAGAGAGAGAACATTCTGGAAAAAATGACCGTATCAACTTTTCTTCCCTCCGTGGAAGTATGAGCAAGTAAGCAGTGATTTCTTAATCTACAAACGGCCAAGTAATAAACAAAAGGTCGAATTCTAGGTCCGATACAGAGGTCAGTTTTGGTTGAACCCCATATACTTCCAACTTTATTTAGCAACCTATTTCGGGCCTACATCTCTACGTGGGGACAGCCCCATCAGTTGTGACACTGGATGATATTGGTGCACAGGCAAAATTTGGAGTAGGAAGGAACTCAACAATAGGGCCGGTTCAGGTGAAGTCAAAAGGGAAATTTGAACACGTCACATTATCCACACTTATTTGTGTTAGCGGTTTCGAATTTTGACTCCGAAATGAATGGAGTCTAATTTCATAAAATTTGTGTGTTAAATTTTAAGAACAGAGGGATTTATGTGGAAAAAAGTGCAATTCTATCCACTAACTCACCATTCTCTATCACTTTGCCTGTGGGAACATGGAGCCACGCAGTCACCCATCTACGCCTAGACAGTTGGGCGGAGTAGGGTTGGACCTAACCCCATTACTTTGAGAGCTCATAGGGGGTAATGTTTGAGCCAAAATTGCAAAATAGCGGCTGAATGAAAGTAGCGACAAAATACTAATTTATAAAATGCCAAAAAATTAGGCTATGGGATTGTCAGTGTTGTTGTAATAACTGACAAGGCTTCAGCTCAATCTACCTGTGTCCCGGTAAAAGTAGTTTTCACGATTATGAAATAAAGGTCTTCTTTATGTCCTGGAGTAGTTGAAAGGACTTTAAAATTAGTATAGGATATTTTGTTTAAGAATACATGTGCATTCATGCGGCATCTTAGATAACCCCTTGGTTTTAAAGTCTCCGCATGCCCCCAAATAGAATTGCTAAGTGCAGGATAAAACGTACCGTTTTGGATGACCCTTGAGAGTGTGAATATCTGTTGACTAAACAGCTGCATTAAATTTTCAGTATGTATGCGTGTGAAGAAACATCTTCCTTACCACCTGCCTCCAGAGATGCGCGAAACCAGCCACTCTTACCCACGACCCCCTCACCCATTGGTCGGTTGACAGCTGGCACCTGCTCAGATTGGTTGGGGTGAGGTGAAGCCTCCGTTGGCCCATTCGCTGGTTGTGGGATAGGAAAATGGGGCGGCTCCTTCATATCACACTGTCACCTTGTGCTCATTTGCAGTGAAGTAAGTGTAACAATGACTACGTTACTTCTGCATTTGTTACTAATGTGTGGAAAATTAGGACGAAAGGTATGGAAAAGATCCTCCAACCACCTAGAAATTTGGACATGTACACTAGCGTTGGGAAAAATCAAGTCCTAAAGTGCACATAGGTTAAAAAGAGAACTTTCGAAAACCATCCTAGAGGAGCCTATCCGGTGGAATGCGATGGAATAAAACAGATTGTTTACTTTTCGGAGCCAACCAAAAACCGATAAACGGGTCCAATTGGGCTACTTTACCCATTTGAGGCTCTGTGAGTACACTGATACCATGCAGCCGTTTGATTCAAGGAGGAAAACGTTAAAGGAACTTTTCTCAGTGGCGCGTAGCACTCACGCCCATTTCTCTCCAAGTTTTAATACATAAATGTTTACAATTATTGCAAGGCATACCAGCGAACCGCTTTCTTGGAGCCTTTTGGAAAGTGTTCATAAAAGCGTACCTTATAGGAGTGCATGGAAAGTGTTGGGATATTGACAGCAAATTTACCTCAGAACTGTTTTTAGGACCGAAGTTGCTCTGTCTTGAGTGCTTTCATTCAAGTACCATCTTCATGACAGTGACCACTATTACCTCTCCCCCTCTCTCCCAGTGATGGAGATAACTGAAGTATTTCTTACATTTTTACTCTCTCATCCTCTTATTAATAAAAGTCGCTCACTTCAATTTCTTTTGATTTCTTCATTGGCTGATTTATCACTAGATTTATTAAGTATGTGGGTGAAAGTGTCTTCTCCACGAAATCAGCTTTTTCATTGCTTGAATACGTTGGGATGTATTCGTTTGGGCATTCACTCCTAAGCACGAGTGTGGGTTAAGTGGTTTACTGTAAAAGTTGGAGAAATGAAGGTGGAGCTTAAAAGATATCCAGGGGGAACTAATTAAACGGGCGACATGACTTCAAATATTTCGGGTCATTCCCAGAATCTGATTACCACTGGTTGGAAAACTTTGAAAAGAAGTTTTTCTTGAGTACTTAGTTGGGAAGACTACATCCCTTAAATAGCCCAACAACGTAGGCGAAACGATATAGCTCTCTATACAATTATTTTTTGAGCAATATTTTTAAAGCCAGCCATTTTACTTGACTTTATTTGCTTATGCAAGCATATGAAGTTGCATCTCCCTAAGAGGCTGGTATGACTCCAAATGGGACAGCTACATTCTGTGCACTTGGCTGCGAGAAAGTATACAGTTCCTGCCAATGAATTCTCATCATTAAAAACAAAAAAACGTGTTCTTCTTGAGGGGAGTAAATGCATTTGTGTGCACAAAAATGCAACTTTTATTAAGCCAACGGATAGGACAAATGATTTACGTGTTGGAGAATGCTGTAAAGCCAGTCGTTGATTAACAAGCCGAGCGTCACTGATAAAATCTTCTTATGACGCAGCAAGCAAAAATAAAGAGGCTGAACTTAACGAGAAAGCGGAGGCAAGGAGTCAAAGAGCGCAACGATAGTTGCGATCATGTCCTTTGCAAGGGGAGCAGGAGGTGTCCATCTCATCTCAGACGCCTTAAGCCGCGTTTGTATTGAAAATGGAGGAGAGCCATTGCCTTCATGCCGTACACCGCAGGCAAAAGATAACAATGGACCGGATGCGTTGACGCCCTTCAGGGAGTGGCATTTGCTGTCTTTTGCAAATCGATCCCCTCCCATTTTCCTCACTCCTTTGCCCAACAACAACCCTTGTATTTAATGAGTAGTATACCGCTATCCCAACAATTTTCGCTCAGGAAACGCTCCGCCACGGAAGTCGGATTATTAATATCTGTGTGTATCTACCTTCGTCATGATAACGTAATGAAATCATACACTACTGGAAAGCTTAATTTCAAAGTCGTGCTGGCTAAACCAGTTAAAGTTAATAGTTTCGATGCCTCCATTTGGCATCAACGTTTTTTTAAAGCGCCGACTCTATACTGCAAATTCCGTCAGTAGTTTCCATTTGGCGAATTTAGGGCGACTCCTATTTCTATTTCTATGTGAGGTGAGTTTCATTTTTGAATTGTCAAGTGAAGAAAACAATTAAAAAACACTACTAGTGAGATATTATGAGGCTTCTTATTGTCAATTACAGTAACTAGAGTAACAATGAGCATTTCTCCTTTTTTATCTTTACAGCATGTGCAGGAGTTGGCTCCACCAAATCACGCACACAATAGGATCCTCTTCACTAGAAATTTTCAGTTCCTTTGGTCATGAGATCAAAATAAGTTGTGGGCATTCTGGGTGAATGAGGTGGAGCTGGTTTTCAAATACGAGGACCATGCAAAAATGTTGACTTTTATTCCCGGCAAAATCAAGTCATTATCGGTGGAAACTATGAGGAAATGAAGGGGGCTTGATGTACTGGGGTAAGCGTCATGCAAAGGTCACGCCTACCTCTTCGTTACATAATAGCCCCTCCTCTAAATAAACAATTTGAAAAAAAAAAAACAAAACGGACTTTCAATGCCTTTCATTTATGCCACGCTCCAACTTTCCAAACAAAGACTGGGTTTACAAACATATAATCTATGGCCTTGAGCTAGTTATGGTAACAGGCTGCACCTAATAGTGCCTCAGATTACCTGCGTGGTCCCGGTCTGCTAATAACTATATTTTCTACTCTCTGAGAAGCAGGTTAATCTGTCAAAGTGTTACTGCCGTATTCGAATATTAAAAACCTGGGGCTCGGTGTCTTTCTTTTGAGATCCTGGCGAATCGTTTGTAGAGACACTTGGATGGCAAACTATCCTCTATGTAGTATTTTGTAGTTAAATATGTTCTTTTGGTTATGCCAATATTTCTCCGATGCATTTATTTCCCATCGTAAGGTCACTCAAATAAATCTTTATTTTGGGTTAGGTATGATATTTAAATGGCGTATATTCCTAAAAAAACAAGTGTGAAGGTCTCCTCCATCGACGACTATTTAAAAGTTGCAACTTTTTCCCTTCGGTAAAAAATAGGAGTTTTGAGTTCTTGACAGGAAATAAAACTCCCTACGAGTGAATTGGACTTGATAACACTTAAAACACTTTGCTTCCTGTTATTGAAACGGTGAACGCCTCAACCTCCGCTCTGTCTCGTTTCCAGTTGAATGCAAACCAGTGCTTTAACGACTATTTTTCTTTTAGATCAATTTTTAAATAGTCTATTTTCAACAGGTTTGTTCTTACAACAAGTCTGTTACATTGTAGATTGGTTTAGTCCGCGGACCATCCTATCGAGCCACCACTGTCCCTTACGATTTCGAAATGGTGTTCGTGATAGCTATCTGCACTATTCACAACAGGGAGAATGAATAAAAATCTACACTCCAACCACACAGATCTAACGAAAGCTTGACTGTGTTGGCTACTTTTGGACTTCCATGTTGGTCAATGCACCAAGCGAAACTGATGAAACGATGTCTTAAAACTGTACAATGAGGCTTTGACGCTGCCGTAACTGTAGACGTCCGAACAGACTTTACCTCAGAACCGTGTGCAACAATGGCCAAAAAAACTTATTGCATATTTTGATTAAGGCATTGAATTCATCTAAATGATGTTAATGATAATGCAATGCAGCAAGATGTAGAGATTATGAAAGTATTCACGACGACTGCCTAATCTCTTAAGGTTGTGAAAGAGAAAGGAAGGGGGGATGGAACGGAGGAAGGGCGGAAGAAAACAACCAAAAGACCTGTTTTTCAAACACCATTTGTATTTGAAATACTTGCACGTGCACGCAATGCCCCACCCTAGTGGACTGGCTTCACAGCTTGGTTCAACTGATGACCAATTGACCAATGATTGCACATACTCTGTAGTCACCTCTTGGCACAACTCATCCAGACAGAAAATGATCATGCAAGCTTTGCGGGGGCACCGCCTTCCTCTCTTTCTCCAGCCAACTGTCACTACTCTAGCCAATTTTTAAGAGGCAACTGCATGCAATTTACGCTTCGCTTGTTCAAGTAGCGGAAAGTACTTGAGGGTGGATGGAAGGCCTTCTTCTCTTAAGTCCTAACCTCTGGGGCATTCCGGCCTCAGGGAATCAATGACGACCGAAATAACAAGTGTTGAGAACTAATTGTTTGGGTTTACAAAATTGGATAAACATGTCTCGAATAATTAAGCGAGTATCATCCCTTATTTAGGGGATCTGTGCTGATGCCGAGGTTATGACGGTGACGGTGGTGATGGAGAACTAATCAAATCAATGCAAACCATCGTTTACTTACAGGCCATAAGAAACAATTTATGGGTGGTTTTAATGGCGAGAAATTACGCTTGTCATTATTCTACTCAATGAAAAAACAACATCGTGACATTCTGAAAGTGCGAGAGCAATATTTTTTCATGATTTATCAATTGCTTCTCAACTTTCACGCCTCGCATTCTGATTAATATCCAATGGTAATGAATACTTGGTGGCCGCAGAAAATGACCCACCTACCACCACTGGAATATGGCAACACGAGAAAAGGCGACAACGACATGGTGGTGGTGATTGCAGTATGGCTTTTGCATGCATGAGGTGTCTCGTGTGCAATCGACGGCACGCAAGGTGCTCATAAACCACTGACCACGCATTTGAGATCCGCTGTTCAGTGTCAACTAAGAATAGAGCCTATCTATCGCCATCTGAAACCCCCTCCTCGCCTTCCCATATGACTCTGGTGGACTAACAACTTACCACCTAGAAGCTGGAACTTGCATTCTAGAGCGCCAGGACCTCCAAGTGCTGTATGACGACGTCTTAATGGGTAACTTCTTGGAACCTTCCACTTCAATCCCCATTACTTTAAGCATTTTACACTGGCCCTTTCCTCCATCCAGCCATAGAAAAAAAAATACAAAATGGTTGGATTGTTTCCAAGCCACCATCCTTCGAATTGGCACATTTGAAGAGCAATTATGCCACTGTCGTGCAGACGGGTCAATTTCAGTGGTG